ACTGAGGGCTGCTGGGAGCAGGGGGCGGGGCTTGTTGCATGTGCCCGCCCCCTGGGCTCTTTACTGCCAGAGCTCCGCTCCTGTGCGCTCCTGCAGGAAATGACCCCTGGTCTTCAGGGTCACCTCCCTTTGGGGTAAATACGTTATTTCTCCGAACACTAGTGTCAGCCTTTGTAATTCTCTCTATGGATAATCTGTTTGTCCTCAGGCAAAGTCCAGAAGGAGATAGATGCCACAGTGGGCCCCGGCCACATGATCTGCTACGAGGATCGCAAGAACTTGCCCTACACAAATGCTGTGATTCACGAGGCCCAGCGCTTCAGCAACGTTGTGTCCATCGGGGTACCCCGGTTGTGCGCGAAAGACACAATGATCCAAGAGTTCTTCATTAAAAGGGTAAACAAATCATCTTCCCTTTTTTGTTTGATTCATTTTTATTTGTTTTATCCATTGCTTTTACATTCCATGTTATTTAAAGGTAAAGGTAAAGGTCTCCCTTGCTCGAAAGCCAGTCGAGTCCGACTCTAGGGTTGCGGTGCTCATCTCTGTTTCAAAGCCGAAGAGCCAGCGCTGTCCGAAGACGTTCCCGTGGTCATGTGGCCGGCATGACTAAACAGCAAGGCGCACGGAACGCTGTTACCTTCCCACCGAAGTGGTCCCTATTTATCTACTTGCAATTTCTTGCTTTCGAACTGCTAGGTTGGCAGGAGCTGGAACTAGAGACAGGAGCTCACCCCGTCTTGCGGCACCCGGGACTTGAACCGCTGAACTACTGACCTTCCACAGCCTGCAGTTCAGCATCTTAACCACTTGAGCCACCGCAGCTCCGTTCCATGTTATTTAGCATCTGACAATGTTTCCTCCCCTTCCCTTCCCTTCCCTCCCTCCTCCCTTCCCTATCTTCGTGCAATCCTTAGTCTTTTCTCTCCAGCCACGGGCACAAAGTCATAATCTTCCACCGAATGTCTTCCCTCCCCTCCTTGGATATCCACTCCAGATGGGTCCTCCACCTTTTCCAAATCACCTTTCCTTTTAATGCTGGATTTCTTTCTCTTTTGGGGGCAACATTTTTATCCCCTTCCTCTGACTGGATAGAAGGTCATAAATCATTAGGGGGGGGGGATCCGTTTTATCCTCTCTAAATAAAAGTTTGGTTGGAGAGGAATTTGCATCAAAGGGTAAGCTTCAGGTGGGTAGCCCTGTTGGTCTGAAGCAATGGAACATGGTCTGGGTCCAGCCTACCTGAGGGACCGCCTTACCCCGTATGTTCCCCCAAGAGCACTACGGTCTGGGGCCCGGAATTTACTAACTGTACTGGGCCCCAGAGATGCTAAATTAGTCGCTACAAGGACTAGGGCCTTTTCGGTGGCGGCCCCTGCCTGGTGGAATGAGCTCCCGGAGGAGATCCGGGCCCTGCGGGACCTGATGCAGTTCCGCAGGGCCTGCAAGACGGAGCTCTTCCACCAGGCTTTCAAGTAAGGGGCCGCCGCCTCCCGCCCCCCCCCATTATATTGCCATCAGGGGGGGTGGAAGAGGCCCTAGGAAGGGAGGAACATCGGAAACACTGGAATGTTTGAACATCTTAAACATCTTAACCATCTGAACGAATGTTTGAAACCATCAAATGACATTGGGGAACCTTTATTGGACCGCCATCTTTTTTCTTTTTTTTCTTTTTTTTCTTTTTTGGACTTTTTTGGACTCTTTTGGAGTCTCTGGGTGTGCAGTTTAATGAGTATTTTAAATTTAAATTTAAATCTAAATTTAACTTTGTATTATGATGGGTTTTAAATGTATATCTTTTTTTAACTTTGATAAGCTTGTTTTATTGTTGCAATATCTATTGCCCGTTAGCCGCTCTGAGCCCTACGGGGAAGGGTGGGATATAAGTTTAATAAATAAATAAATAAATAAACACAGTTGGACTGCAGGGACCCTGGTAAGACGAACCGAGTTGAATTAAGCTTCCGTGAGCACGCACACTTCTTCCAATACATTTGAAGAGACTTCGCCAACCATTACATAGAGGTAGAGAGAGCCCTACTTATTGCTCAGTGATTTATGCATCTTGATTCCAGTTAGCCCTTCCTTGGCAACTAACCCTACCCCTATATGCAACCAACACTATATGTAACCAACTGCAAACCAACACAACTCCCCTCTGAAGGTTTCTTCACATAACCCTCTTCTTTCCTGTCACCCAGTTTGGTGTCGTGGTGAAGTGCGCGGACTCTAATCTGGGAGAACCGGGTCTGATTCCCCCACTCCTCCACTTGCACCTGCTGGATGACCTTGGGCAAGCCCTAGTTCTGGCACAGCTGTCCTTGAAGAAAGAGCCATTTCTGTCAGAGCTCTCTCAGCCCCACCCACCTCACAGGGCGTCTGTTGTGGGGAAGGGAAGGGAAAGGAGTTTGTAAGCCACTCTGAGACTCCTTTGGGTAGTGAAGGGTGGGGTATAAATCCAATCTCCTCCTCCTCCTCCTCTTCTTCTGTCAAATTGACCTTTTGGGGTGGAACAATCCTAGTGAGAAGTTCACTCCCTGGAAGCCTCTACCCCCTCCTTTTCTCTCTCCCCCCTCCCTCCCTGGTTTCTATAATGTGTCAGTGGACAGAACTGGAAACACTGGTTGATTCTGCACCCATCTGTTTCCTCGCAGTTTTTCCACAGCCACGTCAGGAGGTTAATCTCCCTCTACACTGCACGCCGCTTTCACTTTCTTTGTTCATCGGGTTTTATGGTACCTTCTGCATTGATCTATGGCCGTTCAGTGATGACTTCGTAGTCAGTACCGGCGTTGCCCCGGGGTATCTGAATGTGGTTTTGAGCAGCACCTTTTCCTTCCTCTGCTTCCGATTTGAATAAGCAGACAACTTGACATGGCTTAAGAACATAAGAACAGAAGAG